TGGAGGGATGGAGAACAGAGTGCCAAATCTGCTTGGGAGCATTGGAAACAACCCCTCCATCCTGGGGGGACACTCAGGGAGAGTGCAGGAGCATCTTGGCCTCTTCTGGATGTGTCAGAAACTCAGGGTTTGGATCAGGAAAAACCTCCCTGGGCTGGATGAGGAGTGTGAGGCATAAAGACTGCTGGGTGTCCACTCGGTGTAGTTATGATAGTTCATTTTGTGGAGGTTTTCCTCCTTGATTCAAATGGAAAAAACAGAACGTGGAGATGTGGAATGGTGGCTGGTGTTGCTCCTGTGCACAGAGGCCCCTTGTACATGAGCGTTGGGTTCACAAGGTGTGTGTCCATGGAGCATCTTTTGGGTCTGCTGGGTCCATGTGGGCATCATGCAGTTGGAGAAATAAAAGATGAGGTGTAAAGTTTTCCAGAAAACATCCTGGTTTGGTCACCCACACTTTTGGTGGCAGCACCATCCTCCAGAATGTTCTGGAACCACTGCTTGGCTCTGCAGGGGACTCAACCTGTTCATTACAGTGAGAGCAGGCATGGACTGTGCTGGGTCTGATCAGCTCCTGCTGCCCCGTGGAACAGAGGAGTTGAAAATCCCAAAGAGGAAAGTGGGAGCTGTGACTGGAGAATGCTGTGTGTTCCTGTGCTGGGCTAGATCACTTGCATTAAATTCAGAGCCTTTCTGAGCACAATTAATAGTCATTTTATTTAGGTCACCCTGGTTTTGTTGCTTTAAATGTATGCCTCCATTAAAGTGGAAGAAAATCAAATACATTTATCTCCGTGGAGCCTTTTGTGAAGTGGTTGGGCATATTTTAAATAACCCTGAGAACTGTTAGGATTATTAAAGCCTTTGGCTCCTCCAGGTTTTTTTTCTATCCTCCTATTCTCCCCTATTCCTCCTTCCAGGCAGTGAGTAATGAAGTGGTAGAGCCCTTCCTTTTCTCAGAGCCCCAAGTGGATTGGAAAAAAAAGGAAGTTAAATAAACTGAAGCCCATTAGTTGGGCTTTATGTAAGAAATTGGGTCTGCATTGGCTGTATGTATGGGCTGTGCTGGGACAGGGGAGTCTGTGGGGCTGAAGTGTCCATTTGTAACCGGTGTTCTCTGGAAAGGCTTTTGTTTTCTTCTTTTTATTTACCACAAGTGCTAAGACTGTTCATTTTGTAGCACACTCTCACTTCATGGCCAGAATTAGTCCAGATTAAGCAGCTCCTTTAAAGCCTCTATGTCAAGCCATACTACCTCTAAAACAGATTGAGGTTTTGGGTTGCCAGCTGGTTCCTGAGTGTGCTGGGTGGAGGTGGCTCAGCCTCCCACACCTGCACTGGGGAATCCAGGGCTTGGCTGGGGGCTGGTTCTGCTGTGCCCCGGGAATGGGCTGACTGAGGGTCTGGCTGGCAGCTCGTGGGGTAAAGGCCAAGCTTTGCAGGCGGCAGTTCTGTCTTCCAGTCTCACTTCTATCCCTGGAAAAACCTTCCTTTTCTTTTGTAAGCAAGATGTGGGCTGGGTGTTTTGAGCTGAGACCCGGAAAACTTGCAGTTGAGCATCTTTAAAATTCTGGGCGAGCGCGGGAGCGTCGGGTTGGAGGAGGGTGTTAACTTGGGCAGCCACAGCTCCTGAATGCACTTGAGTTTCGGCTGTGGGTTGTTTTTTTTCCCTTCCCCTGAAACAGGGATCAATTTGCTTACTACAGGGTTTACTGCCGGTTACCTTGACTGTGTCCCTTATTTCTCCTTGATGAAAACTTGAACAAGCTGCTTGTGTTTGCTTCACAGAGAACCGTGAGAAACGGGCTGTGTGTGTGAGGCAGTGTGGTTTGCTCATTCTATTCAGCCCTTTGTATATTCAAATTCTTCTAGTTTGAGTTCTTGCTGTTCTGCCAGATTTCCATACCATTGATGGGTTTTCTGCATTAATAAGTTTCTTCCCCCCCCCCCCCCCCCCTACCCTCGCCACCTTTTTGCGACTGGTGAAAAGTTTTTCTAAGCACACCGCCCTCTCCATATTGATTTTTCTTCTCCTGCTTGTCTAACCAGCTCTTAGATGTTTTATTTTGCAAAGCGTTAATAGAATTTTCCTTTTGCCGCTGCACTTTATCTATTCAGGAGGTTTCAAGAAGTCTCATTGTGTCACTGGACTATGGAGGAAAGAGGCTATTCTTCTGCTACAATGGCTGCCCTAAAAAATAACGCAGGGTGGGGTAAGCTCAGAAAGGGCAGAGACGGAGATAAAATGTTCTGACCTTAGGAAAGAGAAAAGATAACCAATTAGACATTGTTGAAAGGGCACCAGCTGGCTCAAAGAACACCCCACTGATTATTTTTTCTTCAAGGCACACACGGGCCACGTCTGAACTCGGCTGCAGAGCCGCTTCCCCCGTGCAGGTTTGATCTGTGGACTGGCAGGGCTGACCCTTTTGCAGGGGGCTGCTGCCCGGGCCTGATCCCAGGAGTAGGGGTCAGTGCCGGAGGGGTGAAGCGCCTGCTCCAGGATTCCTGTGCTCCTCAGGGTCCCAGCCAGCACGCTGGAAACCTGCCGGGTTAGCCCATGCAGTAATAGGGATTTATTTGCACAAAGAAGATCTCTGCCAAGATCATCATTCCAGCGAAGGGGGCCTTGGTACACATGGCACAAAGTGGTGTCTGCCCAGAGGACGTGTGTCTGTGTCCATGGGGAGCGTTGGACAGGTGGGGGAAGGGAATGGAACTGCAGATCCCAGTGTGGCCAGGAACTGCACCCAGAGCTCCTCATCCTTCAGTGCTCAGTCCTGGTGCCAGGACCAGTCCCTCCTCTGCCCTGGCAGCCCTTGGAGGAGCAGGATGTGGCTGCACAAGAGGTTCAAGTCGTGCTGCTGCAGCTGAGCCCAAGGCGTTGGGAGACCTTGGGCTGAGACACGGCCATGCTGCACTGAGGGCAGAGTCACAGCCTCATCTGACAAGTCTTCTCCCCCTGACACCAACACAGCAGCCTTTTTGGAAATCCTCAGTAATGTCCTCTCAGGAGGAGGTGTCGTTTTGGCAGGACAGCCCTTTCAGTGTGGGTCCAGCCTGGAGAGCCTACACACAGCATCAACCTCTTGGTCAGGGGACATGGGACCTCCCTTGGCTGCTGGGTCTCTGTTCCCGGTCATCCAGGAGCTCTCTGGGCTCTGGGATGGGATTTGAGGCAGAAAAGTTACAAGGGAAGAGTCCCAGGTTAAACCTTTTGCAGCAGTGATGGAGTGGGGACAGGGGGTGGGTGGCACACGCCGGGTCCAGGCCCTGCTGCTGTGATGCCCCAGGAAACAGCAGGAGGTGCAACATGTAATTTTTGGTTCCTGTGAGGCCAAGACCTGTGAGAATGAAAAATAAAGATTGCTGAGCAAATGTAACCGTGGAGCAGAGATAAGCAGCGGTGGCAGGGTGAAGGGCAGCACAGTCCTTATCTCCCTCCTGGGATTGCTCATCCTGGTGAGTTTTCCTCCTCAGAGGGAAGACAGACAGAGGGACAAAGGGCTCCGTGCTTAATGCGCTTTGGATTTTTCAGTGCATCAGCGTCTTTAGGTCTCAGTCACGATGGGGATCTGGAGATCTGCTGTTCTGCACCCCCTCAGTCCATCACTAACACTCTTTGAAAGTCATTCTGACCAAAAAGTTAAGAACAAGTTAACCAGAGACAGGTTTTCAGATGAATTTTAGGCATCATGGAAGGTTTTGCTGTGCTGTATCTTTTCACTATTTCCTGGAAAATATTTCTGTCCTGTAGTTAAGAGAAGTTCAGACTTTGTTTTTACCACCTTCCCAAACTCTCTCTGCCCAGCCAAGGCTGCGATGGTAATTTTGCACAGTCGTAGGCTGAATGTTTGTCCCCTGCCTCAGAGGACAGTTGGGGGGACAGGAGGACTCTTTGGCACTGTGTGAGGTGAGCAGAGTGTGTAACTGCATTGTAATTCACTTAGCTAAAACAAATGGTTTATAGAAAACCAGAATATAAACACAAGTAAGTACGTAAAAATTACTGGTGGGGGGGGGAAATCAAAAAACCTCAAACTCCACTCCTTACCCGTCCCCCAGGCAAGGATTGGAGTCTTGTAAAGGATAAAACCTTTTCCTTAAAGATCTTCTGCCTTCCTGCAACACCTTCTACAGTTGAGTGGTTACAGGTTTTCATCAGCCTTGAGTTTACAACAGGGAATTGCAAGTCTGTAATTTCTTCTCGGAGCTTGCCCAGGACGTGTCTGGTGGTGCGTGGGACCCACCTGCCCCCGCTCCTGCGGCCTCAGAGCAACAGCTCAAAGTGTGATAATGCTGGGAAATCAACCCCAGCACAACATCCTCCTGCAATAAGTGTAAAATTTTAGGTGTGGCTGCACAGATTAAATGGAGGTGGAATAAATCATGCAAATCCTAATGAAAGTTGAAAGCAATTTGGTTGCACTTCAATACGTTTCATCAGTCATCTCTCTTCTGAAGTGGAAATGCCGAGCCTGATGCGAATTAAACTTTCTCCCTCCTCCCTCTCCCCTCTTTCCTCCAGCTTTTCAAAAGTCCTTTTGAAAACCTCTGAATACCTTCCTTGACTGACCAGGTTTTACCCTGCTCATACCTCTTTCTAACCTCCTAACTCTCAGCCAGGACAGTGACTCTGTTTTGGAGAAGTCATGGGCTTGATTTGTATCCACAGTTCCTCTCTTGGCCCTTCCTTATCTCCCTACAAAAGGGAAATGAGGCACAACCAGGGATTGGTGTGAGATGGAAGAACTGCTCAGATATTTGGCTTTTTAGGGTGGGCACTCTTAGTGTTTGCTTTTCTGCTTTAGGATCAGGTGTCAGCCAGGATGGGGGGTGAAAGCACCAGGTTTCCAAAACGAGGAGCTGACTGGCTGAAATCAAGGAGATCTGCTCCATGGAGGCTGCTCCTGCCCGTGTCCCCCGTCCTGGTGTGTGTGTCGTGTGTTCCAGCCCTCAGCAGTGTGTTAAAGCACAAATCTCCCCTCTTTGTCTTGCAGGTAGAGGACGCCATGCTAATGTTTGACAAGACGACCAACAGGCATAGAGGTAAGAGAGAACAGCCAAAAATCAGTGTCAACATGGTGATTTGGTGGCTAAATCCATGGTGCTAAATTCCTCTGTCCTGGAGGTTGCAGAGGAAGGATTTTCTTGTTAGAAATGACTTTTTTGCTCAGTCCAATGACTTCTCTTTGGGAGGACCATTGTCAGGCTCCCTGGAGAGAGTAAAGCCCATGGAGCTGGTTGTGCTGAGGCTGCTGGGAAGCAGTGGGTTTGTTCTGAGGTGACTGGCGTTAGTTAAGCTGGGCAGAAGGCCAGTTAAGCTGAAACACCAGGAAATTAAGGTGATAACCCCTCTGCTGGGGTTTCAGGCGTGCTGGAGTCCTGGAGCTGAGTGAGGACTGCTCGTCCTCCGGTGGTGTAGCTCAGAACAAGCAGGATCTCCAGGAATTTCCCTCCACATATTTCACGAGAGAGATGAGGTTTCATCATCGCTTGTACAGTTCTGTGAAAACGAGCTGAGGGTTATTTTCACTGTTATAGCCATTCCTTTCAGTGGAAATAAATGACTCTACTCTGTCTCTCGGGGAGCCGTTCGCGTTCCCGCCGCAGCAGCCGCGGAGCTCCCGGCAGCCAGCGCTGGCAGCACTGCATCCCCCTGGGAGCAGGGAATGTGCCTGGGCTCTCACAGCGGCACCAGGAGCTGCTCTGGGGACAGGCTCCAGGACCCTGTTCCCCCCTCTCTGACCGAGGTTGATTTTCAGCATGGTGTGTTTGGCTCCTGCCCCTGTGTGACGGCGCTGACGGCAGTGCCAGCTCTGCCTGTGGCCCCTCACACTCCAACCTCTTTGGATGGCTCTGGATTGACCTGGTGGCTCTCTGAGGCACGGATGTGTTGGCTGCTTTGAGTGGTTTGGGGAGGCTGCCAGAGGGTGGGAAGGAGCCTGTGCCTCGTCAGAATGGGAGCCCTGGGAAGGGGAGACAGGGGCAGCCCGGGGAGCTGCCTCACCTTTGTGTCGGCACAGGGTCATGAGACCTGACTGACCTCCCGGCGCTGTCTGAGCCACTCACGGCTCTGAGATTTGCTGTAACAAGAAACTCAGTTTGTGTGGATGGCTGAGTGAGCCAGGCAAGCCTCCGGGATAGCATTCCCTCCCTCCCAGGCACTGATCCCTCTCTGAAGTCAGGGACTGTAATACCCTGGAAAATGCAACCACAGCGAGCAAAAGACTTGCTTAGGAAGATAAGCTCATTCGAGCCAGGGAAGGTGTGTGAACAGCCAGTGCCCATCTGTGTAAAAGGGATCTGTTCAAAACTTTTATATAGTTTGGAAAGTTCAACCCATGGCAACTTCCTTTTCTATCCAGGAATTTTCCACCCATCTGTGCAAAACCACCCTTAACCAGGCCATAAATACCTTTCTCCATTCAGGATCTTGGCACCTTGTTTATTGCATTTAAAAGCTGCCTGATGTGGAGTTTTGGTCAGGGAGGGCTCTGGTCCCAGCCAGGGACACACTCAGCAGGTTTGACCTGAGACAGACAGGCACAGTCTCCATTTGCTGAAATGTCCCAGGTCCTGGAGTTTGGTTCCCACTTGGCTGTGCCTGCCCAAGCCCTTTTCCAGCCCACTGGTGTTCTCTTAACACCTTGTGCCTGCCCTGACCAGGCTCCAGTGCTGGGGTGAGCAGGAGACTCTGCAGGGACATCAAAGCAGAGCAGTGGTGTGTGAGTCCTCCCTGTGCTTCCTGCAGGCAGGATGTTTGTCTCTCCCGCCTTCCTCAAGGTGACCCCTGCTCTGTCCCCTGCCAGTGGCTCTGTGCTGCTGTAAGCACTTCCCGAGGCGGGAGGGCACCGGGAATGTTGGTGTCTGTGCTCTGCTGGTGCTGAGCTCTGCTCTGACAACCCTGGTTCAGCGTTTCTGTGCTCAGAGGGGAGGCTGGAGCAGTGTGCCAGGGACCCTGTGATCAGGTGTGAATGTGGGTAATGAACCCCAGAGGACGGATTCCTCTTCCAGAAGCACCTTTTCACTGACTTACCTGGAGAAAAGGTCTGTAACTGCTGAAGGTGAGGGCTGCAGGTGTGGGGGGCACCTTATTTGCCATGAAACCTTTTGGTTTTTCCACAAAGGGCTTTTTCCCCCGACTGTGTGTTGAAAATGAGAGGCAACATCATCTTTTCTTTCCCCTCAGAAATTCTGGATTTATTTTGTTGGCTAATTTTTTTTATAGTCTTTTTTTCCTACATGAAAACTGTGACATTTTGATCCACGCTGGCATCCTAGTATAAGCTCTTGCATGAGAACTAAGGGGGGAGGAACTAAGAGCCCCCAAAAACCAAAAGCAGGCTCCAGAATGCCCTTGGGTGGAGGTAATGTTACCCACCCCCCCCATACTCCACCAGAGTTAGACTCCATACCTGGGTCTGTCCCACTTGCTTGAGCCTCCCTCCCCACTCCTGACAAAGAAGGGAGTTCTCTGGCACCCAGGAATCTCAGCTCTGTTTGGGAGGCTGTATCCCAGGGAACAGGCTTACCCATTGCTAGTTGAAGGACAGTGCTGCTTATTTGCTGGGATTAATCAGAATTCCTGTGAGTGGGTGAAGCCTGGACAGTGCTGAGGGGCAGAAAGGTCTGAGCTCGGAGTCTTTACCTCTGCCAAGTACAGGTGGAAGGAGGAATTGAATGTAAAAGGCAGAGTAAAAGTCCTCTTGATCTTCACACTTGAATTTATCCAGTCTTTTCTGGCATTTTTTCCTGCTCTGCACAGGTAGCTACAGCTAATCAGGCTAATGAACTGGCTCAGGGCTGTGGTGATGAAGCGAGTTCTGCCGCCTCGATCTTCGATAAAATCACCCCAGATTTTACAAATTGTGGCGTTCTGATTGTGTTGGAAGCACATTTAAAATGCTGTACTGTGCAGCAACAGTGTTAATGGCAATTCTTAAAACCACTTGTGGGTTGCAATCTGTATCTTCAAATTAGCCACGGGAAAGAGAAATGGCAGATAAAATATCCGCTGTGGTTTGCTGTCGTTAGTCTGTGCCTGGAATAATCATCCCGGGCATGGGAGGGGAAAAGGATTAAAATTCACTGCTAGAAGGCGAGAGAGATTTCCTTGCAAGCAAATTGAGAGGGTTTGTTGACATAATTCTGGCACGTGTGTGTTGCTCCTGGTGTGTATTTGGGGAGTGTGTAACTTGCCTGCACACACAGGACCAGCACTGGTGGGTGGAAATGCAGGGGTTGAACCAGGCAGAGGGGTTTTCATAACTACTCACCCTTGCTTGAAAACCCTACCTAAAATAAAATTTCATGCCTTGGATGGAGCACTTTGCCTCTGTGATGGACTTGATGATCTTTTCCAACCTTGACGATTCTATGATTCTTAAAAATGCCTTCAGACTGGCTGGGCTGTGCCTCTGCTGCCATCTTTTTTTAGTGTCTGTTCCTGAATGTTCTTGAAGGAAAATAAGAAAACAAGGAAAATTAAGAGCTGTTGTGTTTCATGCTGATCTGTTCAACCATATTAAAGGCAGGGTGCAAAATCTGGGAGTATTTAACTGAAGAGGTGGTTAATTTTTGTACTATTGTAGGCAAAGCAGTGCCTAGAATCACTGGGATATCTCCTTCCAAGGGTTCTCCTGGCTTAGCCACTGAGCTGTGACAGTGGGAATGCAAAGAACCTGCACTTGGAAGGCAAGTATCCCTGAGTCAGTTTAGCAAAGATACCATTTCTTCTTGGAAAGAAAGTGCTGATGATCCTCTGTTTCTGTACCCTGTACTGTACTTCTGCACTTCTCTGAAAACCACACACAAAAGTTCTCCCAGCATTCTGGCAGATCACTTTCATCACTTTCTTCACTGCCTAAAATTTCATAGAGCTTAAAATTACTGGTCAATCTTGAAAGGATTCAGTAATTGGAAAGGAGGAAAAAAAAAAAAAAAGAGGGTGGTGTTATTTTGTTACCCTTGCAAAGTGCAGATAAAATCTGGAGTTCAGCATTAGTTATTGATCTTCGGGGGTGGAGGGAGCCTGGCAGGATGATGATGTCCTTCTAACTTCATTATGGAGGGGAGCTCCAGGGAGCATATCAATGTGCTGTGGAGCCAGGGCGGGTGCTGTGCCCTTGGGCCTGGCAGGGCCTGGGTGGTTGTTTCCAGCAAAGCAGGACACAGTGGGCTGCTTGAGGAGGAAGAGGGAAGAAAGGAGGGTTAGATCAAAGTCTGTGAACTGGAGGGGTGAAGGAGTGGGCTCAGCCCTTCCAGGCTGTTTGTTTTGTGGACAGAAAAATGGAGTGGAGTATCCCCTGATAAATCAGTTCAGCAGCTCTCCTTCCTCCCCTTTCTGCCACTGTTAAGTGTAGAATGGTTTGGGTTGGAAGAGACTTCAAAGATAATCATGTTCCAAGCCCCTGTCATAGGCAGGGACACCTTCCATAGACCAGGTTGCTCGGAGCTCCATCCAACCTGACTTTTGAACACATTAAGGGATGGGGCAGCTTCTCCAGGCAACCTGTGCCAGGTCCTCACCCACAGGGGAAAATTTCTTCCCAATATCCCATCTAACACTGCCCTCTGGCAGTGGGAAGCCATTCCCCCTTGTCCAGAGTCCCTCTCCAACTCTCTTGGAGCCCCTTTAGGCACTGGAAGGGGCTTAGTTCCACATCTCAGTGGGATGCTCTCGGTCCCAGCCCTGGCTGCTCCCCACCAGTGTCTGTTGTTGGTGTGTGCCTGCAGCCATCAGCCACCCCAGAAGCTGTCCAGGACCTGCATCGCTGCAGCCCCATGTCTTAGACTTGCAAAAAGCCCAAGATTTTGAGTGATTGAATCCCCCAAGCTGTAATTGCAGGTATTGAGTGTAATACTATATGTTTTTCAAAGCTGTCCAGCCCCCAGAGTTATTTTCATATCAATTAACCCTCTTGCATGGCTCGGGATGGCAGCAGAGAGAGGAGGGAAGTGACAGCGTGTGATTTGGACTTCTTTAATCTTAAAACTAAACAGAATTAAGGAACAGCAGGCTATCTGCAGGATACAGGCATCATCCT